ACTTAAATTTAAACAATTTAATTTATTATAAAAATTTTAATTTATTATTCTTATACTTATTCTTTATTATTATTAAGTGAAATAAAAGATGCCTATAAACGAAAAGCTTTAGAAACACACCCAGATAGATTTGCACCGGGCGCTTCACAAGATTCTGCTATAAGCCCATCACTTTCGCAAGAAGAAGCAAAAATGCATTTTCAACAAGTAGCTGATGCATATTACGTATTAAGTGACGATCTCAGACGGGCACAATATGGTGAACTTGAATTAATTAATAAATAAATTTATGTTATCAATCAATATAAATCGATGTATATATTTACTATTAATAGTTGGATATTATAAATAAAATGCTATATTAATTTTTTTTAATTTTCAAAAGACACGGTAAGAAATTCTAGGAGAAAAAAAAAAACAATCATCGGGGTTGTGGAATGCACAACATACAGATCCAAATTCGATTTTTGGTAACGTATTTGAAGATTTGTTAAGGCCAGAAATTGAAAATCCTAAATGGTTTTATGCACCAATTGGAGCAGTGAGTGGAGCAATGTTAGGATTTGTTTGTGGAAATGTGCCTGGTTTAATGTTAGGTGCTTACTTAGGAAATAAATTAGGCGCTGTAAGAGATGCTAAAGGTATCTATCTATCCATCCAAGTTATACGTTATTTTTAATATTAAAATTTAATTGGTAATTTTTTTCTTCTGTTATCAATTAATTTAGGCGTATCTGTTTATGAAGCATATTCCAGATTATCAGGAAATCACAAAGCTGCAATATTAGCAGCAATTGCAGCAAAAATGATTACTGGTGGCAAGATTTAAATTAAAAATTATTCCACTAAATTGTATTGTATCAGATATATATTATTATTTTTTAATTTAAAGTAAATAAACCCTCCCATTAAATAAATAAATTTATAGTCATATATACATTGGGAAAATGGACGAGATATTTCAAAGATTGAAGAACAAGTAAGTGTTTCAATTAAAAGGAATGTTCAAATAAACAGGATAGATCCCTTTGTAATTTGAACTAAGCAAAAAAAAATTCTGATATCTAACGGTAAAATGTTGATGATACTTTAAAGAGATAAAGCCGTACAGCAAAAGGCTGTCTACGATCTTCGTTTACTGGTAGGAAAAGCAATTAAAAATTCTTTCAATCTCCAAACGAAAATTTCTAATGACTTGTATGTGTATATGTTATGATGATGTCAATAGGTCGAAGGTCAACCAAACTTATTAAATGAAGCCAATAAGCGCATATTTGAAATGATGCAGCCTGACACGCCTGATGCTCAAAAAATCGGAGGAATACTTGCAATTGGTAGATAATTATTTTCATTTTCATTTTCATATTATCATTATTTCATTATTATTATTATTATCATTATTATTATTTTTATCATTATTATTAATTATTTCTTATTTAATTACTAATCAATCATTTTAGATATACTTATTAGAGATGAAATTGAAATAGCTACTTTATCTCGCTTCACAAATTATTTAAAATTGGTCTTGCCATGTAATGATCAACAGATTATGATATTAGCATCAAAAGCATTAGGTTGAAAAAATTATTATAATGATTTTGATGATAATGATTTTAAAAAAAAAATTTTTTTTAACATGTCTAAGTTGGTTTATTATATTTTACCAAAAAAAAGGAAAATTGGCTGCTCCAAGTGGTGCAGTTACTGCAATTTTTGTACAACGTGAAGTAAATAATTCACTTGAAAATCTTCAAGGTAACGATACAAATAATACAGAAATACCATTTAAAATTTTTTTTTTCAAAGTACATTACTATATTTAAAGATCTCAATTTTTTTCCAATGATAATAAATATTAATTACAAATATTAAAGGTGACAAAAGTGAATATCGCCGTTATGCTGCTGTATTAGTGTTAAAAGAACTTGCTCAAAATACACCAACTTTAATTTACACCCATGTACCTTCAATACTTGATCATATATGGAATGGTTTACGTGATCAGAAGCAAATGATTCGTGAGGCATCAGCAGAAACATTAAGTTCTTGTTTGAAAATTGTTTGTGAAAGAGAAAGTGCTTATAGGATACAATGGTATAAAAAAATTTATGAAGAAGCATCAAAATCATTAAAATCAAACAATGCTGACCACATACATG